CCTCTTGCCTTGACAGTTATAATAACCTAATTGCTCTCCCCTTCTCCAATCCATCCTCCATACAACTGCCCAATTAATCTTCCTAAGAGACAGATCTGACCATATCATGCCACTGGTCCAAAATCTTCCTTCAGCAGGTCCCTATGTTGGCTCTAGGAAAAGATAACACGCTCCTTCGACCAAACGAGATCCTATTTGTGAAGCACTTGCCACAATGCCTGGTGCACACATAGCAGCTGCTCTATAAATGCTTGTTCCTTTCTTTCTTTTTGCCTCCTCCACCACCCCCTAGTCTGACATTTAAAACCTCTCCACAATCTAGCTTCCTCCTACCTTTCCTGGCTTATTCTACACCACTCCCCTTCATGCATTCTATCTTCCAGCCAAACTGACTGTCTCCCAAGCTGGACATTTCATCTTCTAACCCCGTGACTTTGCTGCACAGGTTGTCTTCCCCCCCTTTGAATGCAGTCTCTCTTCACCTCCACATGCATCTTAGACAGCTTGGCTTCCCTTTTCAGTTCTAAATCCATGGTCCTTCAAGGCTCAGCTTAGGGACCATCTCCAACACAAAGACTTTTCCCATCCTCTTTATCATTAGTACTCCTCCCCCCTTCAAATTACCTTGTCAGTCAGTCAATAAGCATTTGCTAAAGGTCTCCTAGGTGCCAGGCACTGTGCTAAGCACTGGGGATACAAAGAAAGACCAAAGACAGTCCCTGCCCTCAGGAAGCTTACAATCTAATGGGGAAGACAACATGAAAACAGAAGTTGAAAGTGAGGGAGGGAGGGAAGGATGGCAGAAAGAAGATACCTGGCTCAGGAGCATGATGAACAAGTCCAAAGAAGTGTAGATGAATGGGAAATGAAGAAACGGCTGGCCTGGGTGCCCTCCTCCAATGGACCGTTGGAGAGAAGTTCAGAACTCCAGCATCCAGTCAGAGGGAGGGAGGGTCAGTAAGGGATACTGACAAAGCCTGAGCTGAAGGATCTTATTATATTTACTTTGTCAAAACATTTGGGAGGCACCCTGTTTCCCAGAGCTAAGGCCCAGTAAGCAGGCTATTCTTTGAGCCTGGCATGACAACAATCCTTTGCACTCTGGATGATCTCATCCTCTGGCAAAGCGTATTGTTTTGACCAAGCACCAGGCATTCACTGCCCCTTATTTCCCAGGGACTTGAGAACCATCCATCACCTTGCTCGACTTGTTCACAATCCCTATTCCTTGTAGCAACTAAGTGAACCAAACCAGGTACTGTACCCTGCTGTGAGACAATCAACTTGGAGACTGCTCCCACAGAACCTAGGAACATGTGTGAGCCTTCCATGGGAACAGCTACTCAACACCTAAAAAAGATTATGTCACAATCTAGCCCGCTTACATATATAAGCATTGCCTGTACCCTAACATGTTAAGCCCTTCTTCTCAGGAGGGGGGACTTCTTTGCTTCCAAGTAATTTTCCTCACTCTGAAATAAAGTATACTGCTACTTTGCATGCTGACACACCTGACTCTAGCCTGCTCCGTTTGGCTCAGCCATTCTCAGGTTAAAGACCAGCCCAGTCTGCACTGCATTCAAAATTCTGTTGACAACTTATAATTACATCCACTCAAGTAGAAGGTAAGCCTTTTTAAGGACAGGGGCTGGTTTTCATTTTTTTGTTTTTGAATTCTTAGAGCCTAGTATCTTGTACTTTGGAATGCATTTTGGTATGTACCTGACTGTGGAAAATCTGCCCTCAAATGTAATTCTTCCAAAATTTATTGTTCTGCTATGCCCAAAGGGCTATAAAACTGTGCATACCTTTTGACCCAGCAATACCACTTCTAGGTCTGTATGCCAAAGAGATCATAAAAGTGAAGCACCCACATGTTCATAAATATTTACAGCAGCTCTTTTTGTGGTGGCCAAAAATTGGAAATTGAGGGGATGCCTATCAATTGGGGAATGGCTGAACAAGTTGTGGCATATGAATGTAATGGAATACTATTGTGCTATAAGAAATGATGAGCAGGCAGACTTCAGAAAAACCTGGAAAGACTTACATGAACTGATGCTGAGTGAAGTGAGCAGAACCAGGAGAATGTTGTACCCAGTAACAGCCACATTGTGTCATGACTGACGTTGATAGACTTAGCTCTTCTCAGCAATGCAAGGATCTAAAGCAACTCCAAAAGACTCCACATCCAGAGAAAGAACCTTGGAGTCTGAATGTAGATCGAAGCACACTATTTGACCTCTTTTTTTCTTTTGTTGTTGTTTTTTTTGCTTGTTTCTTCTTTCTCATTATTCCTCCCATTGGTTCTAATACTTCTTTACAACATGATTAATGTGAAAATATGTTTAATATGAATGTATAAGTAGAGCCTATATCAGATTGCATGCTGTCTTGGGGAGGGGGAAGGGGAGGGAAGGGAAGAAAATTGAAAACTCAAAAGCTTATGGAAGTGAATGTTGAAAACTAAAAATAAATAAATTAATTTAAAAGTTTATTGTTCTAAAATAGGAGTTCTTCACCTTTTCTTGTGTTGTGGACCCCTTTGGCAGTCTGGTGAAGCCCAAGAATCTCTTCTCAGAATAATGCTTTTAAATTAATAAAAAAAATACATATGTATAGGATTACAAAGGAAACCAATACTGTTATGTATATAAACAAAATACTGTTATAAAATATGTGTGTATATATATATACATATATATGTGTGTATATATATACACATACGTGTGTGTATATATATATACATATATGTGTGTGTATATGTATATACAAACACACACACACATATATGTTTATGGACCAGAATTTAGAACCTCTGTTAGAGGATTACCTGTGGCACTGAGAGATTAAGTGATCTGCCTATGGTTCCACAGCTAGTACACATACCATGCACAGTTTGATCCCAAGATTTCCAAGGACATTTCCAAGGGGTTCAAATCCAGCTCTTTGGACTTCCTATTCCACTACTCTTTCCACTATTCCATGTTGAGGAAGGACATGGGTTTGGGGGTCTGTTTCCTTAATGCTTCTCAGACAATTTTACATCTTCCTTGGGGAACTAGAGAGGGTGGCATGGACTATTTTGGCCAAAAGGTAGTTCATAGGATGGGTACTAGGCAGTGCCACAGTGCACAGAGTGCTGGGTCTAGAGTCAGGAACACTCATCTTCCTGAACTCAAATCTGGCTTCAAACACTTAGTAGCTGTGTGACCCTGCACAAGTCACTTACCCTGTTTGCCTCAGTTTACTCATCTGTAAAATGAACTGGAGAAGGAAATGGTAAACAACTCCAGTATTTTTGCCAAGAAAACCCCAAATGGGGTCACAAAGAGTCGGACACAACTAAAAAATGACTGAACAACAATGAAGTTCATAGGAGGTAAACATTTTCCCTTTGATTGGCTAGAGAAAAACCAGCACAGATAAGCAGCCCAGAGTTTGTTACATAAAATGAGGATAGAGGGTGAATTAGGATGCTAATGATGGTCTGGGAATAAGATTAGAATTAAAATAAACTCTTATGGTTAAATATTAATGAGCAAGGTCTGCTTTCAGGTTTCTTTGCTTTTAAAGTAGAATGTAAGTTTTTTTATTTTTGGTCTTTGCACTTAAAGTGCCTTGTACAATTTTCACATTTATTGAGTTGGTTTTTAAAGAACAATCTTCTCTGTGTTATTTAATCTTTGATCTCTTTTTTTTTCAATAAAGTAATAATTTTAATATGAAAGTGAAAACCTATGCATGGTACAGAGGAGAAACACTGACTCCAAAGTCAGAGGAACTGGGTTCAAATCCCACCTATGATTCTTACTATTCATATAACCTTAAGCAGGTCCCTTACCTTCTAGGGCCTCAGTCTCCACATCTGTAAAGTGAGAGGGTTATACTAGATGACCCCTGAGGTCTTTTCTAGCTGTTAACCCCATGATCCTGGCAGACTCCAACAGAAGAATACCCCCTCCCCATTCTTCAGGTATTTCCAGGGCAATGAGATCACAGGATTTTAGAGTCACAGTCCACTTCCTTCATTTTACAGATGTGGAGACTGAAGCCACAAAGGGATCTTAGGATTTTACGACTAGAAGTAGCTTGAATTCATAGAGGCACCAAGGGGAAGAGCCAGGATTCAACCTCAGGTTTTCTGACTCCAAATCTGGGGCTTCCCATTATATCATAGAGCCTTAAGGTGACAACTTTGTGACAACCTATCTACCTGTCTTAATACACACACACACACACACACACACACACACACACACACACACACACACCCCTTAAGTTAGGATTGTTGTTTGGTTATTTCAGTTGTATTGAGTCTTCTTGACCCCATTTGGAGTTTTCTTGGCAAAGATACTGGAATGGTATTTCATTCTGCCATTTCCTTCTGCAGGTCATTTTACAGATGAGGAAACTGAGGCAAACGGTGTTGAATGACTTGCCCAGGGTCACACAGCTAGTAACTGTCTGAGGCCAGATTGCTGCTTCCTTTTAAAAATCAATTGTACTTACTGCTGCTTAGCCTGAGGTATGAGGTAGCAGTGATAGCGCTGCCTACTCTACTGTTGCCTAAGTTCCTTCCATGAGATGAGAAGTGAAGCCATGAAATAGGGCTGGGGTTGGGGAGAAAGCTCAGCACCCTGCAGTAGAGAGGTTCCGTCCTATGGTTTGGGATATAGGGGAATGGCTCATGGGATTGAAATGTGCTCCTTTTAGCCCAGGAACAAGGATCCAGAGGTTGTGGGGAAGAGGACGAGAAATACCCCCTCTCTCCTTCTCTCTCTCTTTCTCTCTCTCTCAATCTCTGTGTCTCTGTCTCTTCTTTCTTTCTTTCTTTCTTTCTTTCTTTCTTTCTTTCTTTCTTTCTTTCTTTCTTTCTTTTCTTTCTTTCTTTCTTCCTTCCTTCCTTCCTTCCTTCCTTCCTTCTTCCTTTCTTTCTTTCTTTCTTTCTTTCTTTCTTTCTTTCTTTCTTTCTTTCTTTCTTTCTTTCTTTCTTTCTTTCTTTCTTTCTTTCTTTCTTTTTTTCTTTTTCACAGAATCATAGGGCTCTAAGCTGGCCATGCGCTGGCTGCAACCAGCTGTGCTGCTGTTTCTCAGGCAACCCTTCCCCAGGCAAGCAGCTGTGCTATGTGTTAAGGTATCATCTTTTATTTGATCAAGTATGCCCATAAGTTAACTCAGTAGGTCAAACCATCATTCTATTCAGTCTACTTCCCACCCATCCTTCCCAGTAGGTATTAAGAACAGGGCTATTGTTAGGAGAAGGGTGGATACAATGGGACAGAACTCAATCATTGTCCAACATGTTTACCACCTACTGAGTCTTGTGGTTCCCATTTTAGAGATAAAGAAATGGAGCAAACTCTGGCACTTATTGCTCAGATTTCCCATAAGATCAGAGGAGAGCAGCGTACTGGTGGGTGAGTTTTCTAATAGCTGCCGTCTGGAGTCCTATCCTCTTCAGAACAAAGACAGAGGGGGACGCGTAGATCCAGTCAATGAGATGATGAGCCAAAGGACCCCCTCAGTCTCCAGCACGGGAAGTGATGAGGTCAAAGGGACTGGCAATTGTCATTCCCAGGCTTTCTATTCCTAAGTTTGCTCCGTGCTCGAGGAGTCAGAAGGTACGCATAGGATATAGGATTTGAGGATCAGGAGGTAGGTCTCCTTGAACTTTTTTATTTTGCAAGCATACACAATGGGATTCATCATGGAGTTGGCATGAGACAGCAGGATACCCAAGCAGAGCAATTCTTGGGGTACGTTCGTGTTAGGGAAGAAATAAGAAACACAGTTGATGGTGGACAGAGGCAGCCAGGATAGAGCAAACAAGAAGAGGATAAGAAGCAGGGACTTGGCTGTCCTGAATTCCCTCCCATAGAATGCTCCTGTCTCTTTAGAGCCAGAGAAGTTCTGTCTGAGCTTGTTGCGGATAACGTAGAAAATGTCAACATAGATGGCGCACATCATGACCAACGGGATGAGGATCCAGGTGAAAAAGCTGAAATAGACCATGTAGTCCATCCTCATAACCGAGCGGAAGCGGCACGGGAGGAAGCTGGCATTCCCAGAGGAGCCCGGGCTCATTCTCTCATTCCAACCAAACATAGGGACCAGCCCAACCAAGATCGACACCAGCCAGCAGAACCCCAGGGCCATCCATATTACTCTCTGAGTGATCACTCTCTTGTATCTGTTGGGAGGGGAAAGAACTGATAGTTTTAAGGCAGAAATTCCTAGAGGTGGAAAGTAGAGGAGAGAAGGAGAGACGGGGAGGAAGGAGACCATGTATTTATCCTCAGCACTTTCTAAAGAGCAGGCTGAAATTCTCTTGTTTCCAAGCTCGAATAGTATAGATACCAGAGCAGGAGGAACAGAGGAGTTTTAAATAAAAATTTCCACATCCTTCTTTGGGGATATTTCCTTAAGGCAAGAGTCATATTTGGAATGGATAGGGAGCCAGCCCGATGATGTCACTACAACATTTGCAGCATAGGAGTTGTGAAAACAACACTGGGCCTGTAGCCAGAAGGCCTGGACTTGAATCCTGGCTCTGACAGTTAATAACCTGTGTGATCTTAGGAAGGGATCGTCACTTGTGTGGGCCTCAGTTTCCTCATCTGTAATAGGAGGAGTTTGGACTTGATCTCTAAATCTTATGGCTCCCAAGAATTTTCAAAATTCATGAAGATATTTTCTCCAAGAACTCTTCCATCTGCTGTCTTTGGTGAAAGGGGTGAGTTTCTAGAAGGGAGAGAAGAAGTGACTGGGGCCAAGCAATATTTACTGCAGTGGGGCTCTCCACTCCCACTTCGTATCTTCCTAGACTGTGGCTAGGTTAAGGCAGTTAAGAAAGAAGGATGTAGAATGGTAGGACTGCATCATTTGGGGAATTAGCCAAACATGGTGTGATACACAAATGCAATAGAATATTACTGTGCCATGAGAAAGGACAAGTGTGGCCAATTCAGAAAATGTCAGAAGACATAGTAACTGATAGTGAGCAAAGCAAACAGAACCAAGAAGACAAGATAACAACTACAACAACGTGAATGGAAAGATGAATACAAGGCAACTAACTATTATGTAATTATAGTGACCAAGCTTGGCCCAAGGGAGTAGAAAAGAAAATGCACACTCTCATTTGTGAAGTAGGGAATAATTATGGGAATAAAATATCATATATGATGCAAGATATAATCTACATTTCATCTGGTTTTGCTGAGCTCTTTTATTAAATCCTTATGTCTAGGTAAAACTTGCTGGGGAGGGGAATAGGAGTATATTCAGAACTGAATGTAATATTAAAATAAAAGAAATCAATAACACTTCAAAAAAAAGAGATGGAACCCAACTGATCTCTTGAGCAAGTTTGACTTTTCCACTTGGAATCCTGTTCTTTTTGCCACTTAATCAAGATTTAAACCACTCAAGAGAGAGGAAGAATTTGGTTTGGGGGACACATTTTCAAAGGACAGAACAAATAGAAAACTTTCTTGTGAGACTGAGTACCCAGTTGGGGAATGAAAGGGGGGAAAGTTGCATTTTTATAGCAGGAGACCAATTAGCATCACCTGGACTTTTTGTCTCTTTATCATTGGCCTGGGCAAATAGTTTTCTGTCACTTAAAAATTCTAGAAAATTTCATTTGAATGAAATGCTTTTGATTAGAAGATACATCGATTAGGGAGCCAATCAATCTGTGAGAACAGAGCTGAGAAGAAAGAACGCCAGGCCTTCCCTGGAGTGGGCACAGGGAGTAGGATGAACACAAATAGAGATGGCAAAGTGCAGAGTTGGGAGTGGGGGTGGAGACAGAGGGAGGTTTAGTGAAGTTATGCTTAAGCAGCAAAACTATAAATGTGGGGAGGAAAAGGTTCTAGTTCTCTCTTCCCTCCTGCTACCTCCACTGTCAGCTGGAGTCTCTTCTCCCATACTGGGAATTCATAGATTTGGAGGGCAAAGGACCTCAGAGGAGATCTATTCCATTCCTCTCATTTTATAGATAAAGAAACTGTGGCTCAGGTAGGTGAACTGACTTGCCCAAGATCACAGGTAGTACATTTCCAAGGCAGGATTTGAATCTTCTGACTCTGAAGCCAGTGCACTAGCCACCATACCACGCTTCCTACCTAGTCCCAGAGCAGAGCTTTGCATATGCCACCCTCACTCCCCATAGCAACCTCACCCTCCCCAATCCCCATCCTCCTCCCCAACTCCACAGCACAGGCAGGCAAATAGTACCTGATCGTAAGCTTGACCCTCAGGTAGCGGTCCACAGCAATGGCGAGCAAGGACATGATGGAGGCATGGGTAAAGACCAGCAGCAGACAGGTCATAAAAAGGCAGTTGTAGAAGTGAATGGTGATGCCCAAGCTAATCACAATGGCAAGAGGCATGACCAGCACACCCACAGCGATGTCAGCCAGGGCCAGAGAGACAATGAAGTAGAAGGTGGTATTCTGCAGGCCTGGGTTCAGCTTTACCACCCAGATGACTAGTACGTTGCCTACAATGGCACAAAGTCCAATAACAATCTCTACAGTGATGTATACTATGCTTCCTGCTGTCAGAGTTGTGTCGTTTCCAAGCATTTTTTTTCCAGTTGGGAGATGAGTAGGGGGTGTAGGCAAAGAACCACTTGGAGGTGGTGAGGCTGGCACTAAGATAGCAATTCTATAAAGGACCTCCCCAGAAGCCCAAGATCAGCAATTGACAAGACTCATAATTCACCCGTTTCTGTTCCTTGCCGGTGGAGGCGAGCACTCTTGGAGACACCAGGACCCTTACAGAGTATCCACTGAAGAGCAAAGCCATATAACCTGCTCTCTAAAGACTGTATCCCCACTAAGATCCTGGAAGTCTTGACGTAAGGTTCTTTGCAGACTGGAGTCTTCTGAATGTGGCTCTCCAAAGCTATTGCTGTTGCTTCTCCAAACTGACAGTTTCGAGCACTTTGTTTACTGCTACAGCTTAGACTTCTCTCCGGGGTCCATCAAGATAAGCTGCACTCTGGTGGTATTTCAGGAAGTGAGATAATCAAGGGGAAGTATTGGAACAAGAAAGATCTCTGTCTGAAGACCAGAGGGGAGGAGAGAAGAATTAGGGAAAGGAGAGAAGCTGAGTTTGTTGTAGAGATTGTTGCATATTTGAAACCCCACCAGGGTTACGAGGGAAGTGTGGAACTGGGCATGAGTCTAGATTTGGGGAACAAGGGACAAACACGTGATCGTCAAGCAGGACTCTTGGCTTTTTGCTGACTTTGCAAGAGAAGTTCTATTCAATAAACACAAATGAAACGCCTTCTATGTGCAAAGCCCAATGCCAGGTGCTGGGGAAAATACAAAGGTTGGATGACACGTGATCACTGCCTTCCAAGAGTTTATAATACATAATAAATGCATAAGAATCCTCAAGGAGCTTATACTCTAATGGAGAGGTAACACATAAGAGAGCTGAAAAACAGGGTGGCAAGAAGGGTGCAGGTGCTCAGGGAAATCACCAGCTGGTTATTGGATGTTTCAACTGGAGATCCCAAAAGGCATCTTAAACTCAACACAGCCAAAGCAGAACTCATTGCCTCCCACCATCACCAACCCACCCCTTCCCTAACTTCTGTGGTCAAAGTAGTCTGGGTCAAAGATACCACCTTCTTCCAGGCACTAATATTCACAATCTTGGGATCACCCTCAACTCCTCATTCTTCCATTACCTCACACATTCAATCAGTTGCCAAGTCTTATTGATGTCCCATCTATAACCTTTCTCACATTCCCCTCCTCCTCTCCATTCACATGACCATTTCTCTTCTTCAGGCCTTCGCCGCCTCTTGCAGGATGACTGCAATCATCTCCTCATTGGTTTCCTCCCTCCAGCCTCTCCCTTGTCCGATCTGTTCTTCACACATCTGTCAAAGCACAGGTCTGACCATGTTGCTTCTCCTCTTAATAAACCTGATGGCTTCATATCTTGTTCAGAGTCAAATACAAACTCTTCTGTCTGTTTGGCATTTAAAGCCCTTCACCGCCTCTCTCCAATCTGTCTTTCCAGCCTTATTACACATCAGTCTCCTTCATACCAAACGGACTTTCTTGCTCTTCCTTACACATGACACTCCCTGTCCCATCTCCATGGCTTTTTTTTTCAGTCTGTCCCTCACTCCTACCCATTGCTACCTTGTAAAATCTCTAGTTTCCTTCAAAGCTCAGCTCAAACCCCACCTCCTAAATGAGGCCTTTCTGGACCCCTGTCCCGCAGCCTCCAGGGCCTCTCCCTTTAAACTGCCTTGTACTTAATTCGTATCTATTTTATACACATTGATTTTGTATCTGCTTATATATACATATGTTGTCTCCTAAGGAAGCTCTCTGAAATCAGGGACTGTTTCAAACAGAGACCGGTTGTCTTTGTATCCCCAGGACCTACTGCAGGTCTTGACATACAGTAGGCTCATAATTTATATTTGCTGGTTGACTGATTGACCTTGAATTCCAGGTTAAGACAATAGGGAGCCACAGAAAGAAGGGTTTTGAGGAGGCCCTCTACGGCCTTACTTTCTCTTACATTCTCTACAGTCTACAGCAGGGGTGGGCAACCTGTGTCCTCCAGGCCACATGTGGCCCTCTAGGTTCTCAAGTGTGGCCCTTTGACTGAATCCAAACTTCACAGAGCAAATAAAATAAAGGGATTTGTTCAGTAAAACTTGGACTCAGTCAAAAAGCCACACCCAAGGACCTAGAAGGCCACATGTGGCCTGGAGGCAGCAGGTTCCCCATTCCTGCTGTAGATTGTAGAGTATATAAGGGAAATGGCCACCCCATTTTTGAAAAGGAACAAAGAATAGAGGATACAGACTATAGGCCAATGAGCTTGACTTCTTTGTTTCTGTTTTGGTTTTTTTGGCTAGGCAAATTGACCTGCCTAGGGTCACACAGCTAGTAAGTGTCAAGTGTCTGAGGTCTGATTTGAACTCAGGTCCTCCTGACTCCAGGGCCAGTGCTCTATCCATTGTACCACCTAGCTGCCCCTTGACTTTGATTCTGGCAAAAGTCTTAAGGCTTATTATTATTATTATTATTATTATTATTATTATTGTTATTAGTATTAGTATTAGTATTTTTAGGCAATTGAGGTTAAGTGGCTTGCCCAGGGTCATACAGCTAGTAAGTGTTAAGCGTGTGGTCTGAGGCCGGATTTGAACTCAGGTCCTCCTGACTTCAGGGCCGGTGTTCTAACCATTGAGCAACCTACCCGCCACCCCAGGACTTATTATTAAAAGGAGAGTTAGTGAATGTCTAGAAAAAGAGAAGAGAACCCAGGATATAGCCTTGGGAGACAGCCATGTTTAGTGGTCAGGAGATGAAATGATGGCCTACCAAAGGAGAATGAGAAGGAACAGGAAGACAGATAAGATGAGAACCAAGGGTGGGCGGCTTCACAGAAATAGAGGGAGCAAGGACGGAGTTATCAACAGTTAAAAACTGCAAAAAGGGCAAGTACAAGAGACTTATTTAGAAAGGACCTTTTAATTGGAGATGATAATTCCAATGAAATGGTGAGGTTCAAAGCCACAAGCAAAGGATGGAGAAGCAAGTGGGAGGTGAATAAACAGAGGTGACAAATCCAATCACTTTCTAGAAGTTTGGATGGGAGGAGACTGGCTAAAGGGAATAGATGGTAAGGCTAAGTGAAGGGTTGTTGTTGTTTTGTTTTGTTTTATTTTGCTTTAATGAGAAGGAAGACCTGGCCATATTTGAAGGCATTAGGGAAGAAGTCATTGGGTCAGAAGATACTAGAAATGAGAGTGATAATGGACAATAAGTGAGGGAGAAAGTCCTCAGATGGGTCAGGAGAGAATGGTTTCAAGGGCACAAGTAGTGGGGTTGGTTTTTTAGCAAGAATGGTCACCTATTCCTCTGAGATTGGAACAAAGGAGGAAAGAATGGGGATGATATGGAGGGTCTATTATGGGGGTGTATTATGGGAAAAAGAAGGAACAAAAATGAATGGCCTCTGTCTTCTAAAGAAAGAGGTGCAGTTCTTCGTAGAGAAAAATAATGGTATAGGAGCCTAGTGGAAAGGAGAAAATTTGGAATAGCCATCAGAGAGAATGTGATAGTTAATCAGGGAAGAAAGCAGAATTGGCACACAGCAATAACAGGGTCAGCTGAGGTTAAATAAATTTATGGCGAATTCAATGAGCCGAGAGTTGCATGATTTTTCTCTAGTAGCATTCAGCACCACGCAAGGAGTAGAGAAGGTTGGTTATGAAGGGAACCTAGGGTTGGGGCGTAGCAAGGCAAGAATGATGATAGGACAAGGGGGGAGGACAAGCATTTAAGTGCCTACTATGTGCCAGGCACTGTGCTAAATATTATTTCTTTTGATCCTCATAAATGTAAAGTTTTGCACTTGAGTGCAAAAAAAAAAATTCCACAAATATAAAATGGGGAAAACACAAATGGACAACAGTTTTTCTGGAAAGGTTGTGGAAGTTTCCATGAATTGCAAGGCTGAAATGAATCAGTAGGGTGACATGGCTGTCACAAAAGTTCATTCAAGCTTGGGCTGCGTTAGATGGCTTATAGCTTCCAAGAATTTGGAAGTGTTGATTCCATTTCACTCTGCCCTCGTGAGACCTCATCTGGAATATTGTGTTCAATTGTGGGCACCTTGGCCTAAGAAGGACATTGATAAAACTGGACAGGGTGTCCAGAGGAAGGCAACCAGGATAATAAAGATTATGTTCATGATGTATGAGTATTGGTTGAAGGAATTAAGCATGTATAGCTGGGAGAAAAATGACTCAGGGGTACATGATAGCTGTGTTGTGGAGGGGGGATTAAACTGGTTCTATATGGCCCCAGGGGACAGAATGAGGAACCAGTAAATTTATATTTAATGTCAGGAAAAATCTTCCCAACAATTAAGAGTTGTACATGAGTGGCTTTCCTGAAGAGATGGTGGGGTCTCCTTCCTTTGAGGTCTTCAAGCTGAGGCTAGACAACCACTTGCTGGGTTCGTGATAGTGGGAATCCTTTCATCTAGAGTTAAGACGAAATGGCCACTAAGGTCCCTTCCAACTTTCAAATTCTATGAGTCTGCAATGGTCAATGGAAGGAGAAACCCAAGTGGGGAAGACTTGGACATATTTGTAGGCCCCAACAGACAAAAAGAGAATGAAAATTAGAGGGAGATGACTATGGGGGAAAGCTGTTGGAGGAGATGGGATCAAAGACACAAGTAGAGGGGTGGCCTTAGATTGACAAGGGCTAGATCTTCATCAGAGATTAGGGCTAGGCAAAAGAGGATAGTGACAGTGTGCCCTTTATACAAACAGGGGCATTTGGAAGAGGGGCCGGTTTAGGGTAGGAGATAATAAGTTATGTTTTGAAGCTGCTGAGCATGAGATGCCAGTAGGACATCAAAGGGGAGATAACCAGGAGACAGTTATTGGTGTGGAGTTGGGATTCAGTAATCACACAAAACTCAGTAGCTGAGAACTGAAAGAGACCGCAGCAGCCATCCATTCCAACTTCTACCTCAAAGGAGTCCCCATGATGACCTGTCTGAGAAGTAGACATCCAGCTTCCACTTAAAGACCTTCAATGACAGGGAATTCAGCACCTCCTGGAATTTGGCTACAATATTCCTAGGAGTTTTCCTTTGGGGATCTCTTTCAGGAGGAGATTGGTGGATTCTTTT